AGTGAAAGAAAAAGATAAAGAGAAATGTGGAGGGAAAAGAGAAAAATGAAAGGGAAAAAGGGCCAAGAAGAAGAAAATAAAGAAAAGAGGGTGTGGAAAGAGAAAGGGGAAATGAGCAAGCTAAAGACCCTGGACTGGCAGAGAGCCAGACTGACCTCGCAGAGAGTAAGAGAGAAGGGTGTTCATAGTGCAGTAAACAAAAAACCTTAAATGTTTGGATTTGATTAGAAATTGAAAAGTGCAATTTTTTTGAACAGTTACAGTGCTGGTCAAGTGGTTTTTCTATGCAAAATACGTTTTCTAAAAGAAAACTTTAAAAGTTACCATAAGCTTAGCAAAGTTGATCTATGAAATTGAACATTGAATTACCCATAAAAACTTCACCACTTTCATAAGATGTATTTTTGTAATGTGATAAGCATGCCCCCATCAAAATCTAAATTTTCAAGATCTTCAATCAAACTTTATTATTCCACAAAATTCAAAAAATCCTTTTAATGTCACATTAAAAACAGACAGAAATGCACAAAAACAAACACAAAAATATCTCGTATCACAGGGTTAAATCGGAGAAAGGCAAATAATTAGCGACTGATAATGCACAAGAATCGAAATTTCATCCACTAGCAGTAAAAAAAAGAAAATAATTGCATGTAAAAAACAACAAGAGATATGTTCCATATGAAGAAAGCTATTTTGAATCACACAAAATATTAGGGCTAAGGAAATGTGTGGGCCTCAAGAGAGTAGTTTAGACTTGCAAGACTGTCACCCGTCAAAAGCTACCAATATAAAGCAAGGATGTGATTCTGATATATCAAAAAATTATCAGAAGAGTTGCATGATTTATAACTTAAAGCAAAATTGGGCCTAGAATATCAACTTGAACCTTATAGCAAGTTAAACGTACTAACATACCCTAGAGCTTTTATCCGTCGATCGTCTTTTCGGAGGAAAAAATTTGAATGAATGGAGCCGGATTCGAGTAGAGGAAAATCGAGAGAATGACGAGAGCCGCTCCAAGCATGAACATCAATGAGGGAACGAATCCGAACAACCAAACCGAACCAAGTGTGGCGAGGAGAATGGCAACCGAGGTGGCAAAGTTCTTGGCAATGTTGTCGGCGTATCTAAAGGAAAATATGTAAAAGTGTAGGTGATTATGGCGAATTAACCAAGCCAAAGTGTGAGCCAAAAATTTTAAGACTAAAGATTTACAATATTGATACGTACAACTTTATAAACTCTTCGAATCGCTTACTTGATGCAAACAGCCACCGAAAGTCCACCAATTCCATACCAGAATACGGTGAGCCAAACGATGAAATCGAATCCATAAAGCATCCCGTGCGCTCGAACGAAATCTCCATCCTTAAATTATATTGCTTAAAAACTAGTTATCAGAAAAGCCAAACCTGCACGAGCACTGCAATCAGTGAAGCTGGAATAGCAAAAACACTCATTTGAACGTTGCGCATCCAAAGTGACACAGGGGCAGATCCCTAGAATAAAGATTTTCAAGAAGAAAAACAAAATTTACCTTAAGAATCTTCTCAAAGTAGATTCCGGCAAATCCTGAGAGGCAACAAGCAACGATCACAGCAGTGAAACCTAAAAATTATTAAATTAAAAACAACCCAACAAAAACTCTACCAATTACAGGGCTTTGATCGTTTGAACTGTTTCCAACATTCGATGTCTGTGATTGAACCAAAGAAACGCCGACAAAAAGGACGAAGAGTGCAACCTAAACTTTCTCATATTTTTTCTACCAAGCTTACTGTTATAAGTACTCACCCATTGTGCTTTGTTAAGACTCCGGCCCAACATGATCACCGAAAAGATTGCAGTCGTAAAGATTTTCATTTGAGATGTTATCTAAACGTTATCGTATAACACTTTTAAAACTTCACACGCGTTTTACCCTAAAATAGGTACTCACCATAAAAGTTGCAGCATCCAAATGACTAGCGGCCACGTAAAACAAATTGTTTTGCACCGTGTAGATCATGGCCGGGATGCAGACCTGAAAAAATAAGATAAACAAAAAACTGGCATTAAAACCTTCAATGTATCCCCAGGTTGATTAATGACTTGGCTGTTAAGCGTAGAGAAGAACCTTAAATCAATACTTTAAAGTGTTAAACGGGTTGAATCTACTTTCTCGGCGTTTCTTCATATATCACCATCATTAGACACATCACGAGTTTGATAATCTAAAAAGCATACTTTGAATTTAATATTTCAACATTTGTTGTTTTACTTGCTAAAAGGTTTATTCATTACCTCTGTTAAGAAAAACGGCTACCGTTGATGTGAACATCTCATCGACTTCTCTCGCTCTCGAGTATCTAAATCTTTGAATTAGTCTAGAAATTATAAAACGCAAATCTTTTACTCTATCTAGCAATCAAATTTGAACTGATAAGTATAGAACCCAAATGTACCAACCGTATCAACAAAGTGTGGATTGAGTTCTGTAGGGTGAGCCAAACGAGAATCGCCGTCCGCATTTTCGTGTTCGCCTTCTCTCTGACCACCGTTCTATCAATCTAAAAAACATTAGTAACGGAATAAAGTTTATTGCAAACAGTATAATTTAAAAATCTAGCCACCCGAAAACACAGAATTTTGTAAAAGAGAAACTTTGCTTTAAGGAAAAATCACGAATCTAGAGGAAAATCGGAATGGATCCAGGTTTCGAATCTAAAGGAGGCATTCCTTTCACTCGAAGATCCCGAAAAAAGATAGTGATGGTCATCGAGATAATGAAGAAACAAACCGATGAATTTTAATGCATAGTCATTTAGACGTTTTCTCCTTGCTAATTTTGCCATTGGCTTTAAATGGCTTTCTTAAAATATCATAACAACTGTACAGTCAAAGCCATGACATCGATTTATTGGGACAACCTATTTTGAGTTTTTATTACTACATTGAACTGTAATGAAGAACTAGAATTTGAAAAGCAAGAAAATTTCATTTTCAAAAACGAACAAGCTTCTGTTTTTCTACTTTCTCAAAATTCTACGAAACTTCTCCGTAACGTTTATACCTTTCAATCCATTACAGAGAAATTCAACTGGATTTATCCCTACCTGTAATTAAAGAGCATGTACTTCTATTTTCTCTCTATCCTTTTCGGACTCCCCGAAAATTCACATAAGCAGGGACCACATAAAAAAATTTTTAAAAATCTTTTAAAACGTTTATATAACGTTTACATCTTTCAATATGTTACAGAGAAGTTCAACTGGATTTATCCCTATCTATGCCCAATTTTCTCACTAACCGGTATTTTGACGGGGCGATTGCTGTTGTCCGGCTCATTGTGGAGAAGAGGTTGCACGTCTTCATCGTCCCCTCTTGTGCCCATCCTTCAGTGATCGTGTTGTTGGGGATGTCGAATGTGGAGACCGGACGATCGACTCCTCCTTCTAAATAGGATAGTAATAAGATCTTAAACATTGGAAATGCGTCAAATGCAAAAATTAGGTTAAAAGATCAAATTTATGAAACATTTAGATCGTTATCGTGGAGAGGAAAGAAAGTGGGGAACACCAATAGAAATTTTGTAACCCATTTTTCATAGCTAGACCAAAAAAAACGATGAAGCATCAAAAATGGAGAATCAAAATTTAATAATTGTGGCAAAGTGTGGGAAGCAATAGAAAGCGGTGAAAATCCGTCAAAACGTGGCCCCTTGATCGGAATTTTTCACAAGCATCACCGTGTCTGTGTAAACAGCCAAATGGAATTAACACTTTGCGTCGGATTTCAACGTCAACAATGCCAAAAACAGAAAAATATTGGTCATAGATCGACAGAAAAGTATCATGCTGTAAAAGAGGTAATTGTGTTAGCGGTTTTGTTAAAACAACAACAGTAACCAGACTATTTGGGATGCATTGCCAATTTTAAACAAGCTAAACAAACATTAAGCAGTTAACACCGCCCGTGTTTGCCTAGCTTGTTTAAAAAGTTCTAAAAAATTAAGCTGTTAACACCTTCAATGAAAATCAATAATTCCCCGAATCAATTCGAGATCAACGGAACAATTTTCGTTACTCATCGAAACATTTTCGCAAAAACCAATATGTTATGAGGCGGCCTCAAAAATTGCCACGTTTTCTCTGCTTCTGCCTTCTTTTGCTTTGCAACGTGTGAGAGAGGGGAAAAAGGCGCGATGAAAGAGGCGCGGATCACATAAAGATTCCATTCGAAAAGTTGGGGACATTCACAAACTTTTTATTGCAAACTCCACCCAAAATCATTCACATTCGTTTTTCTTTTAACCATCATGGTATTCGTCAAAAACAAATTGCTTTTAAAACTTTCTACTCCAGATATCTAATGTTCAAACTGCATTCTTTCGTTACTAAAAAGTGAAAATATATTTATCTGAACTCTGGAAAAAATAAATTAGTAAAACGATGAACAAGTCAATCCGTGCAAACTGTAAGACTGATCAAACAGGAGAGAGTAGTGAAAGAGCCTATTTCGGGAGCAATCAGGGTATGCTGAAAGGCCAATGTTGCAAAAATAAACACTAACAACACGGAAACAGAAGCCAAAATGAAAAGAATTTTCAAAAACCCTAGCTTATCACAATCGAAGCGAACCGGAAGGCAAAAAAGGTAGCACATGTAGGAATTATCCTTGGGAAAAGTTTCTTCAACGATATGAACGAAAAGGCCGCACTTAAACACCAGAATCATTTGGGCACTAAGAAAAAAAACAAGCCAGTAACACAAATTTGAACACTTTAAAAAATGTAATGCTCTTTTTAGATTTTTGGATACACCACTCTTTAAAAACTACCCGTGTAATTTGCGACCCCGAGAATCATGACACACAGCCACTCTAGGGTGGAAAAGAGAACCCGACATAAAGCCAAAAAAAAGAAAGAAATTTGAAAGTTCACAAAATACATAGAAATCTCAAAAGTAAAAATGTGACTAACTACAAACACAAAAATGTCACCCTCATCAACTGTGTTATTGTTGCTGTTGTTTCAATGGAGCGTAGAAGGCGATCAAGCTTTTGTCCAAATCTCGACCCTTCATCGTAGTAAGCAATGTGTGTAGGTTCTACAAAAGCATATAAAAATGAAAAAACATTTTCTTACCCTATTCATTTCCTCGGGCATCAGACCAGCAACAATAGTATCAAATTGGGGAGTGGCTGCTGCTCGCATTGCTAGTAGTCCAATTGAGCATTCGTGAACTACCTAAATAATTAATAGTATTAACCTTATTAATCAAAGCAATGCTAAAGTTAATATCGATATCTAACAATGTAGCACCAATAGACTTGAGATTCTTCATATTTTAAACACAAACCAATTGACTGCTTGCATCTGTTGAAGAGATGTGCGGAAGAGCCGGAACTTCTAATATCGTTCTTATCCCGATTTCAAACCAGCGTCCTCCATTTTGCTAAATCTTCTCTATACAAAAAAAAAACAAATCAACCATTACCGTTACGCTGAGAACCGCACACTTGCTTAGGCTCATAATGCACGCCTTTTGAACTGCAGAATCGGCTAAGAACGAGAGCTGACGAGCGGCTTCAACAATCATATCAGATGCAGCTCCTAAAGTTAAATGCCGGTGGAAAAACATCTACCAATTTACCTGGAGCAAGATCAGTCAGTGTCTCACTGGAGACGACGCTGTACAAGAATTGTCCGAATGCCCGTTGACAATACAGCTAAACAAATGATATGAATGTAAAGCCTAAGTTCAACTAACCAAAGCTCTCTTATTGGCTTCATCTTGTGGAAGTTTTGACTGCGTTTCTGGGTCGGCCGAGAATCGGGCCGCATTTGTCAATATCATCCCAAAATCAACACCGGACTTCAAAACGGCTTTCTAAAAGTTAACAATAAATTGGGTAAATCAGCTAGAACGACTTGAAAAAAATCAACTTACCCCATGCTTTGAAACAATTTGATGACAAAGAATCAACAAGTGTTGCATTGAGTCTAAATCTTGACTGCACTCCCAAGTTTTCCCAAAACACTTGGCAGTAGAACAAGCATCTAAAGATTTAACATTTTTAACATTTCTTAGCAAGATTTTTACCAACCTCTTGTTCTATGCACACTACTAAACGATGGGTAAGTTGGCGAACACTTTCTAGCAAGAAGACGTTGGTCGGAGACAAAGCTTCCAAGAAAAGCTAAATTAATAGTTAAGTGTAAATTCGTTCAATAAAAAAAATACCGTAAGTAGCTTCATGAATAGATCAGAGCATGAATGAGCAACCATTGTTACCTCTTTTGAAAAGGCCTTTGACAAACGACTGAATATGGTTCTATCAAAGACTGACACCTTTACACACAAACCTTGCATGAGTAACAATGGCTGAAAGTGATTGCATCATTTGTTCCGTTGCTGCCTTATCGCGTCTTGCTCGCGTAGCCGCTAATTCGACCAAGCCTTGTTGAAAACGGGAAGCTATTGTTGTTGCGAGTTCTTCAAGAAATTGCCGCTAAACTTACAAGGTTTCTTCAATGTAATCTTTAAAACTTACTTTTTGCGCGGGTTCTAGATTTCCAAAGATTATGAGCGTTGCTGTTACTTCAAATAAAAATCCTTGGTCATCTTCAGAAAGACCAGTTGAGCCAGGTGCAAGAAGTGGAGCGATTCGAGGAACAATCTAAAATGGGATGTACTCAATAAAAGAGAAGAGATTACTTACTTGAGAAACCAGAGGGTTGAGGGCCTGCTTTTGAGCTTTGACAAAACGAACAAACAGGTATACGACCCGGGTTCGAACCTAAACGCATACATGATTGCAAATACACAAAAGAACAAACCTTTTCATTCGGAAAGCTAACTCCTCTTTCATCTAAAAATGCTTCTGTCACAATTGGGACAATTTTATCTGGAGATGTGCCCACAATCTTTTTCATATCTAAAAGTCAAGTGAACAAATATTTAACCAAATACCAACCTGCAAGCATTTTCGAAGTACTGTATGTGAACTTGTGCAGAACGGCCATCAAGAGGTATCGCTTGCACTAAAACATATATAGGTCTTGCATACATTTAATGCACTTACATAAAGCCAAGGGTAGTTGCGTGGCACGAACAAGCCATACGTCTTTTTTCCTTTGTTTGTTGAGTGAAAGTAGACTAAAATTTTTACATCCCTCCTGTAAGTTTGAAATGTCAAACCGGTATCATCTCAGAAAGCGCGTAGACCAATTGTACTACTGATTCCACCAAACGAATATTGCTCGCTGTACCAGCCAAAAGTACTTGTGACACCATTTGCTCAATAGGCTCGACGACCAATTGCACACGCTAAAATAATTGTTTTATTCGGACATCGAAAAACTAATTCTAGTTCTTGATTTAAACAACCACTTTTGTTCCAATTGGGTTGATAAGTTGTCGTAGTTGCTTGCGATAATCATGAAAGTGAATTTCATCTTCGCCCTCTCCATCTGGATTCAACTCCGAGGGCATTGTATAACGCCTGAGTGCCGTATTGACTATTTGAGCCATTGTAGCGACGTGTTCCTAGAACATGGTAATTGGCTTCGATTTGATCCACAAACCTGTTCAGCACTAGAGCGAATAAGCATCACATAGACCCTTAAGAAATCGATCACAATCCAAAAAAAGCTGCAACTTTATTAAGCGAGGGATTCTTACCTCACTAATTTCAGGATTTTCATCATTAGGCAAACGAAGAGCAATTGGGATAAGTTGTCTGACCAAAGTTAGAGCATGGATAGCTTCAGCCGTTGTTCCACCTTCCTTCTCAATTCTAAATGGTGGAACTATTTTCCAAAGTTTGAAATGTGTCTTTGATGTTAGCCTTCAAGGTAATTCACCACACTTTTTCTCGCAAGCAAATGGATCTTTTATGACTCAGCGAAAAAGGCTTGCCAAACCAGATCAAACGACTATTCAAAGAGAGGGAATCCCCCCAAGGCAATACAAAATAGCTAATACACTGTGCGAAACAGAAAGCAAACCCAAACTTTCACTGTAGTGCAACGTCTGTTCAAAAATGAAAATGTTTTCCTTTATTATTGGCTTGCTATTACTACTATCCATAGCTACAGCTCAATTTTCTCCATGTGACTCATTAATTTGTGATTTCCCAAAACAATGCAAAGTCGAAAAGGAGGTAATTTTTCTAGATTGGTAAAATTTTACAGAATTCAGGTTGCGCAATGTGTCCTAGCAGAAAATCCCTTTATCAAGTATTTCAAACTTATTTGGTTCAGCACTCGGTCAAGGAAATCATATCGACAAAACGGTGAGTTTCCATCAGTTGTAAGGGAACGGATTAAGCATTTAGGAAGGCCCAACATTTCCCACGACTGAGTTAGTTACAACGTCAGCTCCACAATGGTTAACGACAGAAGCCACCACCACTGGGCTATTTGGCGGACTATTTGGTCAAACTGGTGCTGCAGGATCAAACGACCCATTTGGATCTATTCTGAAGCTTTTGAAGTATCCCCAAAAACTTTTTCTACTCAAATTTTAAGTTTTAGTCTTACTCCTCCACCACCAATCGTTGAAACCACACAAAAGCCTTTTATCACCCCCGTAGCTCAAGCTCAAACCAGCCCAACAACAACTGCACCTCCCGAGCCCGATGTCTGTATTCTGCCACCATTAACAGGGAAATTGTGGCAGGGCGAGAATTATGTGGTGAGTGAGATATATTGACTATGCAAAAATTATTCAGGTACTATGACAACGAGACTCGAACTTGCGAACGATTTTCCTTTAGCGGCTGCGGAAACTCGAACCGATTTGAAAGCCGGAAAGCCTGCGAGAAAAAGTGCCTCACAAGAAAAAACTTCCATAGATTGTGAATAAAGATTTGAAACTGACTGTGAGTTGACAATGATCAATTGATGTCCGATCAAGGCAATAAGATTTCCAATTCTATCCAAATCATCTTCATCACTATCCTAAAAACAAAGTTTAATTGGTGAAATCAAGTAACGGGTGCAAAACTACATCTTATTAACAAAGAGAATCCTAACCTCTTTAACTTCGATGAGGCTGTTAGGATTTGATGACTTCCAGCAAAGCAGAAGTGAGTGACAGTTTCTTCTGAGCAGGCATACCCTTTTGCACAAGTCCTTCAACAGCTCTTACTGCTGCCTAAAAGCAACTTTTAAACAGTACAAATATTTTTAAAAAATACCTCTGAAGATTCGTTATTTGACAACCCTTTAATCAAAAGTGGCACGAATCGTTCAGTAGCGACCAGTTCCAAATCAATCCAATCAATGTATGCAGCAACAACATCGAAGACTAATGAATGATCGGCAGAAAGGTTTGGATTTTCCTATAAACTAAGGTTTAAAATATTTATCGTGTTTGAGGATTCACCAGAATTTGCCACCAACTTTCCGCGCAGTCTTTGATGCAGAGTTCTCGCATAGCATCCTTGATTTTCGTGTTTCTATCAAAAGCTAAAAGAAAGGAATTAAACTTTATTAAAGTCAATCACATACCTCTTTTGCTACGCTCAATATCTCGGTCCACAACCTCTTGGTCAATTGAAATCAGAGTTTTTAGGTAGAAATGAACATTTGATTGATGGGGAAAACCTCTGAAAGAAAATGGAAGGTAAAACTTTGATAGCCAATAATTTCTTACCTCTCTAGGAACACTTCTTGCATAAAGCGAGGCCAGCGTAGGGGAAAATCGACAGAAAATACGATCGAAAATATATGACCCATCTTGTTGATGAGAAATGAGGGCACAAAAGTTCCAGAAGCCTTGAAAATAACAATGTTTGCATTAAAATAACAAGCCACACACCAATTTTTGCATCCAGTTCCTGAGGAAAGTTCGAATTATCTCTATTTCTTCGATCGTGGCCTGAGAGTATCGTTTTCGCAAGTAATCCTCTACGACTTGCAGCAAGAGAAAATGCTCCTCATGGTTTCTAAAAAAAATAGCAAATAGCTTCTTATTTCCAATTTCCAACCTTATAAGATTGCCGACGATGTTTTCGACAGACCGACGCCAGCCAGCATTGTCTTTCTTGAGATTCTCCAAGTACGAGTAGACCTAAATCAAAAAGTAATTGAAGTGTCACAAGTCCTTCTCATATTTTAATCTAACAAAAAAAAGAAAACAAAAAGCTCACTTCATTTTGCTTCGTTGGGTCGGTGAGTACGGGACAATCTAGGGCATTCGTCCCATCGACAGTCTTCATCGTCATTGTCATAAGCGTTTGATTCTTCACAAGTTCGTGAGCACTCCTCAATTAACGGGGAGATCATACGCCGATTTCGAAAGAGTGAATTTCGTTCAATCTAAAATAGAAAAGGTGACATCCAAAATTTCGAAAAAACATTTTCGAAAACATTAAAACGATAAGGGAGTTCAAAGGTTCAATTTTCAAACCGCATAGATGTACGAGTGCGACCAAAATTTTGGTTGCAATGGGTAAGTTCGCAGAAAGGAAATTAGTCAGCTGATCGGTGGTATAAATTCGCGGCAATGATGATAAATTGTGCAATATAGCCGGCGAAAGTCTGATGCAAGAAGCCTCCACCTACCCAAAACAACCAACAAACTCCCAACACAAAAACGGGAGTGGCGTCTCGCCGCGAATGGTGATGCAGTAGGAAAAAGCGGCGGATTTTCTCCGCGGAAAAGGGAAAGAGGGGGTTTTTCATTACGAGAATTTGAGAGAAGTTCGGGGAAAATTATTGTAAACCAAACTGATAAAAGCGATTAAAACGTTTTCCACCCGGATATTGATTTGTATGAGCTGACGGGTCAAGCGCTGGAACGTTGCTTGGTCTGCAATACCTAGAACCAGGGGTTTAAAGAAGATAGCAATTCATAGTCACAAGAAGAGGCACCCCGTTTAAAGTTACAAAGTAAAAAAAACTAAAACAAGAGAGTTTCTTAAATAGTTATAAAACGACCAAGTCAAAGATGTTCAGCAAAACAACTGTGTATATCCACAAAAATTGTCGAACCGGGATACGGTAGCTCTCGAGTATAAAAAGCTGAGAAAAGTCCCAATATTTCACTCGCAAGAGAGTATTCGTAAAGGATTTTTCCACGGTGGAGTGGCTTGCCGATACATTTCTATGTGGTGGTTGAAGGGTTGAATGTGAGAAGTGACGGTGAAATTATGGCTTTAGAGTGAAAGACCTCTACTTCTCATTCCAGATAAAATTTACAAACATTGAACAAAGTGATGTATAGCCATCTTTTGTCTAGAGTATACGTTTAGCTGTTTCAAAGGTTCACTAACATCGTTGACACTCCCCGAAAATGTTTTGATGAATCGAAGCATTCTCTGATTATGAATCACGCCAAGACATTTGTCCTTTTTCATTGTTGTTTTCCTATTATGACTTTAAGCTTTTTATTTTAGAAACGTAAAAACATCGGATGGACGCATTCAGCGAAAAGAGACAAGTAAATTTTGTCGGTTTGAAATAGAAAAATAGTACTTTAGAAAATCAGCTTGAGTGCTAAACCGACTGGATTCGACACATTGCGCTCACGGTGGGAGGTAATACTTTGATTGACATTATTCGTGAAAATTCCGTGGTTGCTTTTTTAAATATTGAATTTAGTTGTCTTCAAAAACTGGCACGCCTCTACACCCTGACGCTACAGAGGATGAGCTGCTGGAAGTGGCTAAACAAATCTCGAACACAAAAGTCTCGGAAAGAAGAAGCATTGTGAGCAAGGTTTGCAAACTGCAAATGTCTATGCCATTTAAAAGTCAATGCTTTAGTTTACGTCTATGCCACATATTGCAATGGACACATCTTCCTACAAGAATTATGCCTCGATCTACAAGCCCAATAACGAAAGGTCATACTCGGCATATTACCATGTAAGCCTTTTAACGAACTACTTTATTATCCAGTGTTTTAGTCAAGGTCCTACTATGGCTATAGTTATGAAGAAGCTCTTGAAAATGAAAATGGCTATGGAGATGTGTTTGAAGAAGAAGTCAGTCATTTGCCTTCATCAAATGGAAGCAGAGGAATGCTTAACGGCATGGATTTCGATGATAAAGTTTGCCTATTGAAATTTCGTTATAAAGTTTTTTTTAGGTCTTTGACTGTATCAATGCTCCTAAACATCAATCAAAAAGCTTTTTGGAGGAAAACAATCGACCGAGTGCATCGACGTTGAGTTTAGCTCCATCTACTTTGCCAGATCCGGACGAAGTCAATGTGACCATGGAAGGACCAGTCAGCGAAGAGGTATAAATCATTCATTTTTATTATAACAGATTTAGCAGTTTACTCCCGAATCTCCGCAGACAACTTCAGATTCTATTCATTCAAACATCGAGACGTTATCAATTTCAGAAAATGACCCTGCATTGGTGAGTTTTCAATAGAATTAGCCTAAAACTTCTATCTGTTTTAGGCTCATTCACTATCGTTTTATCGAAAACAACGTCAGGGAAAGGAAAAGAAGAAGGCTGAAGTCATTGTTATAAAATCACCGCCCACACCGCCAAAAAGTATTTTAAGAATGTTCATGTTTTTACGTGTTGTTTTTAAGAAAATTGAACCAGAACCGGAAGTTGTTGAATTGCAAGTAGAACGGAACAAACAAATGGAAAGAGTCATGGTAGGCTTTGCGCCTGTTTTCTAGACTAATTTTCTAAGGCTCAACTTCGGCAAGCGATAGCAGTTGAAGATCAGCATATTCATCAAGCTTCTCGAGCTTTGGTGTATTGTCGGCAGTCTGGACAGTTCTGTGGAAGCCGTCAGGAAGTCGAAGGTAGTTAATTGGCGTAATTGTTGTAAAGTTGCTAAATATGCATTTGTTTTTTGTAGGCCATACTTCACCCGGTTTTCTCTTTTAGTGAAATTAAATAATTTTAGGTCAACGTGCCCTTCTTGTTGCAACAGAAACCCGGAACGTGTTGGTCGGTGAACTTGAGCGAATAAATCGCCAAGAGCCTGACGCTTCCGTTCTTCCACGCGGAATGCTGCAATTTTCTCGATTCAGACTCTTTCTCTCAAAGAACTTTTTGAAGGGATATGTGAATCATTATGATGGTATTATTTAATATTTAGAATAACTTTACTTTTCTTTAGACTTAAACATCACTTACTACTTTATAATCCTGCTCAAATGTGGCTCAACTTTACTTCATACAGCTCTGCTCTCTACTGAAGATGGAATTCAAGCGGCAAGCGATATTTTTGTCAATAAGTAGTGTTTAAATTATATGTTTAGGATGGCGCTATTGAATACAATCAATACTTAAAGATTGAGAACATTTGTTCGGATTTTGATTGTCTTTTAGAAGTTTATGCTTTGGTGAGACAAAACACTTTAATTATTTTGCAAAATGCCGATTTTAGCGCTCGAGCAAACGTTATGAACAGAAACGAAAAAAGAGCGGATCCATGAAAGGCCTCAACGCGGCTTTTTCATTTTCTACAAAATCGCCGAAGACTCCCAAAAAGACACCATCTGGCAATCGCATCCTGGATTCGAAATTTCATTTGGGTAAATGAGTCGTTATAATTTTATCTAATTTGGTTCTTTTAGTTGGGAATCTCTACCTGAACATGGAAAATGTGGATAACGGTGAATTTCATCTGAATGAGCCTCAACATCCCTTAGAGGGAACGCTACAAATCACCGTCAAAAAATATTCTATCTAGCCGCATCGCTTTACTGCTCATGTTTCATTCATTTTCATAACTCAATTATGTTGTTTGTTGCTGAAATTAATAAAAATTCGTAAATTTTGACTGTGACTTTTTCGAGTATTAGGTAAAAGGATTGAGCATTTAATTCCAGGTCATAGCAAACGACTTCCTATTGCGGAAAAGATTGCTTTAATAGAATGAATGATGTTCAAGTAAAGGGGAAGTCTTAGTCTTACATTTAGATGCGATCTCATTGAGAAGAGACCGAGACACGTCGACATTCAATTAGTTGAGTGAGTACGCACGACTGGAATAAGAATAAGGGGAAAAGAGGTGACTTATTGATACACAGGGAATTGTTTTGCTATTAGTTTGGCATAAATTCCCGGTTTAATTGGCATCGATACTTTTTTAGGCTCTACTAATTCTCTTGATTTTCTACACTTGACTTTCAGATATATGAAAGGCTTTTTCACTATATTTTCACTATTATGAACTTTCAAAGTTATGAATGCATCAAATTTGCTGAAGTTTAAATATTTTTGATAAGCGTTTGAGACTCGGAAAGCTTTCCGGGATTAACTTCGCTTTTGAGAGGAAGGGGAGAAATGTTTTTTTTTTGTGGAGGCTAATTTGGCCGTCAACTTCCCACCCGTTTTTTGGCGGAGCTTTTGAGTTGGAGGCCGAAGAAAAGGCTTTTTGACAGAATAAGAACATCGTGATGAGTATCTTGTGTGCATGGGAGAGAAAGAAAGAAGCTTTCATTTCTTGAAGCAGTAAATTTCCCTTCCCATTTGCTGTGTGAATGTTTTTTGCTTCATGTTTGAATGAGATCAAAATTTCGGGTTTTAAACATTTCGAAAACCAGCCTACCTTTGATAGCTCACACTTTGAACTCCAGAGCATTGTTTAGCAGCTAAACCTTTGATAAACTTGATTTTTATTCAATTATTTACTTAACGAAAAAAGAACATTGAGAAATTGACGAGAAAGTCGGCTTTTTGGAGTTTCGTGTACCATTTGTTTAACTTTATACTTTGAACAAAAATTACTTCTTTTTTTTGAGAAAAAGAACTCAAAAAATTTTTTTTTTTTAAGAAAAAATTTTTTTTTTTTTTTTTTTTATTTTTATTTTTTTTTTTTAAAAAAAAAACTTAAAAATTTAAAATAAAAATAAAGATTTTTTAAAAATTTTTTTTAATTTTTTACGAACAAAACAAAAGCCATCGTAAGACCTGTAGTACCGTAAGAAGGATACCGTAAAGCCTGGTACCGTAAAACGCCAACTACCGTAATACCCGTTGGTTTTAACGTAAGAGTATTTGTTAATATGTTAATAAAAACAGCACAAACTTTTTGAAACTAGAGTCGGCTTTTTGGAGTTTCGTGTACCATTTGTTTAACTTTATACTTTGAACATCAGGAAAAAAGCTATCGTAAGACCTGTAGGACCGTAAGAAGGATACCGTAAAGCCTGCTACCATAAAACGCCAAGTTACCGTAATACCCGTTGGTTTAAAGAGTATTTGTTCCCAAAGTTTACCAAGCTACCAAGCTACCGTAAGACCTATAGAACCGTACTTGTTCAAGGCTTACTGTAAGAGTTGGATACTGTAAAAAAAACTAAACTACCGAAATGCCCAGGCTTTTTTTGAAGCAAGAGAATTTGTTATTCAAAGTTTGTAAATCCTTTTGAAATCCTTTCAAAAACCGTCTTACTTTCAGTTTTGTTGCATTGAGCAATTTTCAAAACATGTTGCAACCCCGAATGTTGTATTGAGCAATTTTAAAAACAAAAAACCATTGTAATTTTCAGAAATCATTTACTTTCTAAATGATGTCAAATTTCTTTCTTTTCCTCTTCGCCCATTTCCCTTCACCTAATTAGCAAGAGGGGGGAAATGGATGATTCGATGACATGGAAATGAGTGTGGAAATGAGTGTGGAAAAGAGAGAACGGGAAACCCACAACAAACCAATAAATTTGCATTTCTCATTCGATTCCAACTTTTTATGTTCCTCGGAAAAGTATTTGAAACTTCGAATGACTTCGAAAACTTTTTCTTTTGGAGATCTCTTCGAATATGTTTTCAAGACAAACTTTTATGTTGATGCTTAAAATTTTCTCATCAACAGGGCCGTTTTTAAGGGCGAAATTTTCATTTCATCCTTGCTTTTGAGTTTCACATTTTTGCAGGTCATCATTGAAATAGTATTGCAATAATTTTGCAATACTTTTGAGTTCCCTTTCAGCTTCTCTATGAGCTTCAAATTCTCTATTCAAATATCAAATATCTCACTGCCGGGTTGTTCTAATCGAGCCTTAAGCCTACAGGCTTAGGACTGACTTCTGGACATACCTTGCCTGTCTGACCAGACCTGGCAATGAAATCTTGACCTGAAAATCAAGACAAAACGTTTTTTTGACTGCTGAACACGATGGTGAAATCGGTTTTTGCGAATGAGTAGTAGTTTTTTTGCAAATCTTAGAACATTTCAGGAATAAAGCTCTTAAAGACGGCATATCAAAAGTGTCGCCATGACGTGGTGGGTAAAAAATATTGCTTTTCTATATGTTTTTGTAGCTTTTCTTCTATCGTAGCTTCAGCATTAGACAAACTTTTATCAGGTGATCTCGGGGCGGATCTCAAAATTCCCAAAAATCCCAAGAGATTTTGCAAAAACCCTTTTCAGAGTGATACGCTTCAGATTGCGGCGAAGATATGCGTAAAATTAAGTGTCATTTTTCGGAACTCCATTCAAAAATGTTGTTTTTCTTTTGAGAAATCATAAAGCTTCTTTTCGCTTAAAGCTTAAGCTTTGCTTGAGGGAAACTTTCTCGAAAACTTTCCCCATTTCTTTGGTGATTAAATGCACATCGAAAAGAGCATTGAGTAACAATTTTTCGTCTCAAAAACCTCGTACTTGAGTTTTTATGGGTTTTGATTTGAATTTAGAATCGAAAAGTTTAAATGAAATGAATCCGAGTTTCGAGTTTAATCTATGAATAGCTCTAATCTATGAATAGCTCTAATCTATCAATAGCTCTAATCCATCAATAGCTCTAATCCATCAATAGCTCTAATCTATGAATAGCTCTAATCTATCAATAGCTCTAATCCATCAATAGCTCTAATCCATCAATAGCTCTAATCTATGAATAGCTCTAATCTATCAATAACTCTAATCCATCAATAACTCTAATCCATCAATAGCTCTAATCCATCAATAGCTCTAATCTATCAATAGCTCTAATCTATCAATAGCTCTAATCAATTTTGAAAATTTTTCCCTTTTGGCTTTATTGGCTTTATTGTATTAGTGCAAATGCATTCACATTAAAAATAAAAAATTTATTGAAAACCAATAATGTGATACAAAAAAAAGGATACATAATAAGAAATAAAGGTCTAAACACACAATTTTATGGCATTGCGGCCAATTACTCCTATTACCCCTATTACTCGAAATGTTGTAAAAGAAAAAAGAACCCATTTGGATGAGAAAAAGAAACATTTTTTATCTTGCCAGCGTGATTGAACCTTTGAGCTTCCGCTTAAGAGACAAGACTCTAATTGCTTTAAAAACAATGTAAGAAGCATAACCACGAGTAGAATCGGTCAGCAATCTGACTCTATTAATGCTTAAGTTTCCTCGAAAATGGGAAATCAAGTGCGCCAGGAGGGGTGTGCTTCTCCAAATTCTCAAATTTCTCCAAATTCTCTCAAATTGATAATTTCAAAGTTTTCGAGCCATTTTCAATATTTTATATTTTCAATCCGTTTCTTGATCTCGCGCAAATCCCACACGGATTCCCAGGGAAATTCCCTGAAAATGCCTCTTTTTTTTGGGGCTCTTTACCGTCTCTCGACTTCTATTCACTTTGAAACAAATACTTCTCGAATTTCCCCACAATAAGTTTAAATAATTTAGTGGGATTTTTCTCAAAAATCTCGAAAATTCCTTTTTGAAATCGGATTCTTTAGAATCTTTTATTTGTGGCAAAATTCGGCCACGATTTTTGCTCGTTTACGTCAAGAGTTTTCAGGCTAATTTTGGGTTTTTCGAATTCGAAACAACAAATGGATATTTATGAATCGTAAAAGAAGAAAAGATCATAGAAATTTTGAAAGTCTTTGAAAGATTTTGAAAGTCGAAATTACCGTTAGTGAGTCTTTGAAAGGAAACCTTGAAAGGAAACATTGAAAGGAAACATTCGAAGGAAACATTCGAAGGAAACATTGAAAAAAATCATTGAAACAAATCATTGAAAGAAATCATTGAAAGAAAGATCACCGAATTCCGAATAAATCCTGTAAACGCATCTCGTTTCGCGTTGCTCAATTTTCAGCATTAACTTTCTACTCATTCTTTAGTATCTCAGGCTGTAAAATCGAAATTACCATTTCTAGTTTTAAGCCAAAAAAACTTCCGCTTGAATTGTTTCCATTTAAAAGATCACCGAATTCCGAATAAATCCTGTAAACACATTGAATTGTTTCCATTTAAAACCTAATCCCATATTTCAATCTACAGTAATCTTCACAAGTGAATAAAACCAAAAATATCTTTACTTAATCTTACAATCCATTCCCTAATTGTGGAAATTTCTAAAATAAAACAAAAAAAAATGGAAATCCAGAAAATAAAGCAAAATTTCCTCGTTCCCAGAAAGCTTTGGTTAATTTGTTTCTTGATTTCACGATAAGATTTGCTTCAGTAAGAAGAATTCCCATTTCTTCGCACTAATGAACAAATTTTAGCATTTTTTTTGAAAATCCCCAGTGGTTAGGGTCATTTGTGAGATTTTAAATCAAAAATCAGATAAAAAAATTAAAGATTTAAAAAAATCAAATTAAATCAAAAAATTATATGGCTCTCTAGGGATTCGAGTAACCATTTGGCTTGACCTCAGAATACAGCAAAGGTATGGGTTCTTTTTGAATGTTTTACAATGGAGAAAAGTTGGCTCAGCTTCGTTGGACAAGCCGGTTGGGGCTGGGATAGCAAAAGAGTCGCCGGGAGGATTCGAACCCGCGACCCCCTCACGACCGTGACCGCTTACCAGGCGAGCGCTCTACCAATGAGTCACACCGACAACGGATCGCTGCATCAGATTGAGGTGTAATTGAGGTGCATCACTTTGCTGCCTCGACAGTACCGCTAGTTCAAATTCAGGCTGATTGCTCTGAAAACCCAGAGAGAGAAACCGGAACCACTAAACTGTGCTAGTTTAGTGGTAGTTTAGTGGTTCCGGTTCCTCTCTAATCCTATCTAATATCTCTAATATCTTCCCAAATAAACCTATACATTCCTGACATTTTTGCTAATAAAAACCCGGAACTAGGCGTTTTTGAAAGATTTTCAGGGAAAATGAGGAAAATATTTGCAGAAGCTCGGTGAGGAGTTGCGTCATTAAGTTCGCGAAAAATAGGCTACCGTATCCTTATGAACATATGAGTTTCATAGTCGCTCATTTACAAGTAGTACTTTATCAACTGAACTTAAAGTTATTAAGCTTTTAAAATTCAGCTCTCGTTCTTCAAAGTCGCTTCTGTCTAACAAAATGCTTTTTAAGGGTTGATGGCTGTTCTTGGAGTTCTCTTTTTTGTTCAACTATGTCAAACACTTTACTTTTAAGTCCAAAGGTTTTAAACATCTTCATTCTTTAATGCTTTTTATCTTGTAGATTAAGATTAAGCTAGAACTAGAACTAGAACTAGAGCTAGAACTAGAACTAGAACTAGAACTAGAACTAGATTATCATTTACAACACTTTCGTAAAGTTATGACACTTAAATTAAGAAAATCAATCGTAGAAAAGCGGTTTTAGAGCTTTGAAAAGATTGCGAATACGAATTTACTTTCTAAGAGTCATTCATTTGACTGAATTGAATTTGAATTTTTAAATACAAATGCAGAGGATTACCAGTTTCACTCATCCAAAACTCAAATTTTTCACAAACTCTTGAACTAGTGTCAATAGAAATATGTTAGTTTTTTTTAAATCTGAAAACAGAAGAACTTTTTTCTTCAAATGTGCAATTTAAATTCAAAATGAAAGTGATTTTTGAATGATTTTTGAATGATTTCATTCAAGGATAAAGCCGCAGTTAGGTATTTTCTTTAGAAAAATTTATATTTAACAGATTAAGCTGTTCAGAAAGTTTTGAAGAAAATAGAAACGAATCCTTGAACTTTACTTGAATATATGTTACGTCAGAATCTGAGGAGACGTCCATCTCCGATCCGGACGTCCGAATCTAAGGAGATTCATTCTCCTCTGAAACGGACGTCCATCTCCGAAACGGACGTCCATCTCCGAAACGGACGTCCATCTCCGAAACGGACGTCCATCTCCGAAACGGACGTCCATCTCCGAAACGGACGTCCATCTCGAAACGGACGTCCATCTCCGAAACGGACGTCCATCTCGAAACGGACGTCCATCTCCGAAACGGACGTCCATCTCCGAAACGGACGTCCATCTCCGAAACGGACGTCCATCTCCGAAACGGACGTCCATCTCCGAAACGGACGTCCATCTCCGAAACGGACGTCCATCTCCGAAACGGACGTCCATCTCCGAAACGGACGTCCATCTCCGAAACGGACGTCCATCTCCGAAACGGACGTCCGACTCTGAGTCGGACGTCCGTTTCAGAGGAGAATTGCCAAACCGTCCGACTCAGAGTCGGACGTCCATCTCTGAGTCGGACGTCCGTTTCAGAGGAGAATGTATCTCCTCAGATTCGAACGTCCAGATCGGAGATGGACGTCTCCTCAAATTCGGACGTAACATATATACAATATATACCTGAATGAAATCACTCAAAAATCACTTTCATTTTGAATTTATTATAGAAAAACACTCGACACAACTGCGTTTTTCTAAATTGGCGCAAAAAATCCACGAGCGACGACTTATATACGACTCTTTTTAAAGAAATTCAGCCGTTTAACTGATTTGCTGGCAAACTTTGCACTTTGCACTTTGCAAATTTCCCCGACCCAAGTATAGCCGGGTTATTTTCGCTCAGGAGAACATATCTGTTTGTCATTGGGGTAAAGTTAGGTGAATCTCTCCTCTCTCCCTCCCCTCCAAAACCCATTTCATCTACCACATCTCGTTTCTCATCCTCCAAACCGCAAAGCTAGAGCCAGCCCTCTAAAAATTTATCCATTTCTGGGCGGCTCCAATTACCCCGAACCACGCATCGGCCCACACACTTTTTTTTTTGGCGGTCATAGAGAACCAAAAAGTTTTGTTTCAGCTTAAAATTTTGATGATCGTGTTTACGTGACATTTCCTTTTTCAGAATCATTCTTGATGAGCCCTTTGATCTGAATCTTTGATTCAAATTTCTCCAAAATCTCGGGGTGTGTAGAAGCGGGGTACCGCCGGGCGGAACCGTTCCCCAACCTCCGAACGCTATCCCACCACTGTGACACGTGTGGACTATTGCCTGCTCCCTTTCGGACCCTGAGCCTGCCTTCCTCCTTGACCGCCCGAAACGGCCCCCCTTTCGGGGAACATTGGAGTCTGTTCCTCACGAGTAATGCGTTTTTTAAAACGCATACTTAGGAAAAATTACCGTACTTTTAGCGAAGATTATTGCAAAAAATTGGCGCAAAAAAATCACGAGCGATGATTTATATACGACTCTTTTTAAAGATATTCAGCCGTTTAACTGATTTGGTGGCAAATTCCCTTCACAAGTAAAGATATTCAATTTACTCGACGTGTAAAGAGGATTACTCGTAGTTAATCGACCAAAAACGTCGATTAATCGAGTAAAAATTACTCATGCAAATTTTACTCGATTAATTGCATACTCGCGAGGAATACATTCTAGCGACGTGCCGCTTGGTGTGTTCGTTCGGTCGTCGGCCAGATCCCGTTTCACCCTCGAGCCCACGGCTAAGAAGCTGGCTCACAAGCGCCCGCCACGACGCCCCAAGGCTGAGCCCCCAAAAATAGTGGCTTTTAAGAAGGGAGGTCACGGTTTCCATTAGAGAGCCTAGGGGACTTTCAATCGTCAATTTCTTAGCTCTCTCTGAACCGATTAAGCTGGAAATTCTTCTGTAGATAGAATCGAGGTAGGAGATTCCGAATTTGAAAACGGTTTTCGGAAAATGACAAAGGGAGTAGTGTGGAAGCGTTTTAGCTATCAGAAAAAGGTTCTCACTCAACCACCCACCTATTTTCCATTAAAAAACTTTTTCAGGGAAGTGTTCTCCTTATTTTTTGCCATTTCGGAGATCATCCCTTCTCCAATAAGCTGGGAGAATTTGGCCTCGGGACTTTTTGCGCGTCGAAAATGAGTTGCAATTGGTGAAAGAAAAAAAAATTTTCAAATCTCTATTCCTCTTCCGATTTCTTATTTGTTTGAAGCGTCATTTAGATATCCATTTCACATTGGGATTTATTGCTTTGAAAAAAACACCGATTTCAGAGATTCTCTTTATAAGTTTTTCAATTCCTTTCAAGAGTTTAAAGATATTTTATTTTTGTCAGCCTATTCAATTCAGCAAATATCTGTAAACCGATTGTCCTACACAATTTTCGAGTAAACTTTTCAAACTAAAGCTGTTAGGGTTTTTAAACTAAAGCTTACCATAGCTAAAACTTGACTTCATCTCTTACACATTATCAAATGAATTAGGATTTCTATCATTTCTCAAAGATTTAGATTTATATTGAAAAGGTTAAGACGAGCAAATTTCCAATTAAACACAAAGAATAGGATAATCGGGCGTTTGTTTTTGGCATAAACTCTGTCATAGTTACCTAGAATCATAGTTACCTAGAACTAATAACGAATTTCTATTTTTAAAATTATTATTATGTAAAATCAATATTACTTCCTTAACAAAATGGCTAAAACTTGTCTGTATTCGCCTTTTTTCCAATCAAACACAAAGAATAGGATAATCGAGCGTTTGTTTTTGGCATAGTCAGAAAAAAAATCCAATATCAAAATCCTATTCAAAGAAATCTTCTTATACCCGAATTTGATAAGGTTTAGTAGGCAAAGATGAAGCCTAGCTAAAGCCTAGCTAAAGCCTAGCTAAAGCCTAGCTAAAGCCTAGCTAAAGCCTAGCTAAAGCCTAGCTAAAGCCTAGCTAAAGCCTAGCTAAAGCCTAGCTAAAGCCTAGCTAAAGCCTAGCTAAAGCCTAGCTAAAGCCTAGCTAAAGCCTAGCTAAAACCAAAGCCATAGTTCTACCTTACTCTAATAGAATGTCCCATAATGATGGGGGTACAGTCGCGTAGTCTAACTTTGAACATCCTAGTCTGCTTTAAGCTACAGTGTGCGCTTTGGTGTGAAATGATAGCCTTTGAAATCTATTTTTTGGTACTAAAAGGGTAGCTGGGAAAATCTAGAAACTGAGAAAAAATGATTTTCTAAAAAGAAGTTAAATTACGCGATTGTACGAGGCAATAGCGTTCTATTAGAGTATTTATGGTAGGACTAAATTCTAACTAAATTTCACTTATTGTCACATCATTTTTGAATGTGTGAAAGCTGTTTTATTTGCAGTAAAATCAATCGTCTATATTGCACGCATTCTACCTCTTTTTATAAACAAAAGCCTCAAATTAAAATATAAAACAAACGTAAATATAGCTTTTTGGCGTTTCAAAAGCAATTGGTGGTTTGTTTTTGAAAAAAATTGGCACATTTAGCTTGTATCAGCCTTTAATTACATTGCTGACTTCACAGATTTCCCTCAAATCAATAAATGAATAAATGAAAATGGTAAATGCATAAGAAATGCAGATTTCAACATTTTCATAAATTTCCAACGATAGAAAGCTGATATCGATGAATGTTATAAACTATTGTTATATACTATTTGAAAGTTGTAAATCTCCTCTAAAAAATAGGCTAAAAAGTGTTTCAATTGATCGAAGCATTGAAGAAATTTCGAGGGCGAAATGCGAGTGACCAAAAAAGGAATCGAGTCACTTTAGGGACAAGTTTAGTGTCGTCAAAATAGAGTTAGCTTCCCAAAATTGAAGATTTTAAAAAAAAAAAGAAAGGATAACTATTGGGTTGGGGAGAATGAGTCGGCGCCAAACTTTAAAGGGACTTTTTGCACACATAAAGCCTTCTTTAAACATACGTTTGGTTTCATCAAAAGGATCCACTATTTCTCTACAAAATCACTTTTGAGAGATTCCACAAAGCTTTTCTTTCGTGGAGTTTATGAACTTCCAAACGCAGCTGGTTAAAATGGCAAAGAGTCCGACTCATCATTTGAACAGTTTCTTTCACATAAACCTTCTTTGGTGTTTATATAAAAAAGATAGAGCACATTCAATTACTTAAGTTGCCAAATTTGCAGGAAGATCCCACCAATGGTTTTTTCTAGATCACAGTTTGTAGTTTTTGTGAAAAAATGGCTTTTTCTTGAGCGGAGGCGCTGTTTGAATTTTCTTTTAAATGTCATTTTGTAGAGAATTAGTTAACCATTCTACTCATATCAAACGCATATTATTTGACGAAGTCGAATAGAAGTTTTAGACATTTTTTTCATTTTCGGCGCCGACTCATTCTCCCCAACCCAATATATATCAATTCATTAAAAAAGTCTAACGGAAATGCATTTACAGAAATTTAGATCAAGCGTAAGTTCAAAACCCTCAAAATTGTCAAAAAAAAACCGGCTTTTTTACAAAAAAGAAAAATTATTGTAAAAAACAAATTTTTCCCATGAAATGATCCGAACTCTTAATTATTTTGAATGATATTTTAGTCCACTATATAGATCATTTTCCACTATATAGTCAAAACCGAACTCTTGCGAAAGTGGGGGGTTTTCAAAAAGTGTCCCACAAAAAGGCTTTGAACTTTGAACTCTATCTAAATTTCTGTAAATGCATTTCCGTTAGACTTTTGATATGAATTGATTTATAGTTATCCTTTCTTTTTTTTTAAATCTTCAATTTTGGGAAGCTAACTCTATTTTGACGACACTAAACTTGTCCCTAAAGTGACTCGATTCCTTTCTTGGTCACTCGCATTTCTCGCATCATATTTGAAAAAAGATCGTCACTTTCGCGCGTCTATAACTCCCTTGTCTTTACCGTATTTCTAAATATTAATATTACCATTGTGTAGCCCTTGAAAAGAGCTTTCAGAAAATGTATAACACTAATAGTTTAAACTCAAAGACAAGGGATTTACAGACATTTACAGAAGTGACGATCGTTTTTCAAATATGGATATTTCATTGTCCAGTACTGTACCTAATAAATTTCAAATATTTCAAAAAAATTTTACTAAACTTGAATGTATTTTTTTTTAGAAAGCCTATAAATTATTTCTGCTTGTGCAATTTTATGTTTATTATCTGGTGAGCTTTTTTTTTCGGTAAACAAGATTTTCCGGCTCGTCAAACATACGCCCAATTTGTGGGTGTAAATCCCAAATCGGGATAACTCAATCTTAGAGCTGATTTGAGTAAGTCTAAGCTAAATTTAGATCAGTTTTATCTTTCATTTGTTTTTTAAAACTTATTTGACTATCGAAAATCTTTTGAGAAACGAGAGTTCTTTAAAAAAGATTAAAAACGATTTAACTTAATCTCAAAAAGATTGAACCCAAAAATTAGCT